CGGCCTTTGGATTGTCGGATCATGCGCCAGGCGATTCGCGATTGGGGTCATCGTGCTGGGTATAGACGCGCCGTTCTGGGAGTACATCCCTTCGCTGATCCGGGACTCGACACTCAGCATTCAAATTGTTTTCGGGAGGAAAGCTGTACGTTTTGCGGCCCAGGAAGGTCATAGAAGTGGACCAGTGGGAGTTCGTGGATCATCACAAGGCCCACGCGGCCCTGGGATTTTATGCCTCGCCCTTCCGTTCTGCCTTGGTGGTGTCTTATGATGGCGGGGGCAATGATGGATCCTTCAACGCCTTTGTGGCAAGGGCTGGTTCCTGGTAGCACGTTCTGCTTTGTTGATCTGGCCGTGGGTCAACACCAATGGCACCATTTTGGGGTAGGTGCTGAGTCTACTTTAGTGGGGATTGGGATGTTCACTGGGAGTACGGGGTTTTGACCCATGGCCATATCGAACCCCAGCCCATGTCCATGCCGGTTTAAACATTTTATATGTATGTAGAGCCCTGCGTGGAATGCTTGCTCCTTGCCCAGGTCAAATTGAGCACATTGGGACTCTGCAGTACAACTTTGGGGATATGTACATGCACCTGGCTGAGCTTTTGCCTGAGGTGTCGGGCAAGGCTATCACCGAGCAGTGCCGCCAGAATCGCAAAGGGATGCACTGGTCCAAGTTTATGCTAGGTGAGAAGCGCGCAATTCTCTCTCTTTCTGGCAAGCTCATGGGCTATTCCGGCATCAAGGAGTCAAACCCCAAGCTGAATGAAGTCGTGAAGGAACTCTTCAAGCATTCAGGGAGCTTTTTCTCCGCAGATGCTCGTGTTCCCTTCGCGTTGCTGCGAAGTGCATGTAACTCCACCGAAGACCAGCAGACTCTGGCAGCGTCAATTCAGGTGGGTTTTGAGGAGGTGGCTCGAGATGTCATCCTGGCGCTGTTGATGCTAGCTCAAAAAGCAGAAGCTTTCTGAAATGGATTGAGCCCCGAAGTTGCGAAACCGCGAAACCGCGAAGGGGGGGGGGGGGGTTGAGCTTTCTCTTCTCCGTTTCCAGTCATACCGAGTCATAGCTTTTGGTGCAGCGGATTTCCACTTTCGCGGCCTGTGTGGGTTTGGTTACTTTTTTTGTTTGCTTTGTCAAGCACCTTGGACAATCACTTACCCAAAGTCAACCTCTTACGATACACCTTGATATGCAACCAGACACCGGGACGCCGCCCAAACTCTGCCAAGCCCCACACCACTGAAACACCACCACCAAAACGCCGCGCACAAACCACTGGGACACCGGGACGCCACCCAAAACAACAGGGCAACATAACCGGAACTCCACCGGGACATCGCCAAAATCCCACCAAAAAACACCGCCGGCGCAAGACCGGGACACCAAAGCAACGCTATCACCAAAGGCTCACGCAGTTTCACTCCAAACTCAACCGATTGAGGGCAACCCAACACCCCGCCTTCCCCCGCCTTTCCCTCCCCCCCACAGGCAAAAGACGCCACGAAACCGCCACTGGGCGTCTGTTGCCTAAGGAAAGAGGTGGGCTCAGAAAACGTGGATGGCCTGGTGCTCACGGGAGGCTGCGCACTGAACGTGTTAGCCAACCAGAAGATTCACGACTTGGAGGAGAGTGCGAGGTCTAGATGTTTATCGTATTCTTTTGATGCACGAGTGTCAGGACATACGCCTCTACGTGCCGCCTGCGCCCAACGACTGCGGCCTGGCGGCTGGAGGCTTGTGGACCATTTCGCCGCCCCCGAAGCAGCAGCCGTTGCAGTACCTAGGCTTCCGGCTCTGGGACGAGGACATGCCCCCAAGAGTGCAAGCAGAGTGCGAAAGCGGTTTGATTTATACATGTTTCATTTCCAACAAATTTCCTTGTTCTTTAAACACGCTTGGTGTTGCATGGTTCTCGCGCTTTAGATCATGTCTCCAGCAGCCGTGGCATTGCGAATTCCCTAAGCGATTCACATTTTTCGTGTCTCCAACATTTTGCTTGTTGCTTGGTCTCCCCTGGCTTTGCTGTTTTTTGCGCTTCTTCCGCTTTTTGCGAGGCTCGAGCGCGTGGCCTTTGCGCGCCGCGCCGTGCGCCTCAGCGCCTTGGGCGGCGTGGACTTCCTGGCGGAGTTGCTTGCAGGGGGCGTGGCTTGGCAGCGTCTCAACGCCAACCACAGCCGACCCATCGTGGCCGTGGTGCGGGGCCGCCAGGCCACGCAAAGCAAATGGTGCGCCAAACGCCGGCGGCCATTTGTCGTTTTAGCGTCTTTCAGCCGAACTTTCGAATGCGATTCTCGTCAAACTCCTTCTTCAGGAGTTCGGTCCCCGGGCCCTGGGGCACCGGTCCCTGCTGGCCGTGCCGGACGCCACCATGCGTGAGCGCATGAACCGCCTCAAGGCGCGGCAGTGGTATCGGCCCGTGGCGCCGATGATCGCAAAGGAGGACCTGGCGAAGGCCCGACGTGGGAGGGACAAGCTGATAGAAAAACACAGTGAGAGAGAGGTATTTGATCGAAAGAATGCGGTGTTATGGGGAGGGGTTGCGGCTCCTTTTTTTCTCGCGAATCTAGGGAGGACATCACCAGTTCAAGCGTGTTGCTTAGGTCTTCGGGCGCGAGGTGGCGTCGCCCTACATGACGATGGCCCCCCGTGTGGTGGAGGAGATCCGCGCGCGCTTCCCGGCGCTGGCGCATTTGGACGGCACGGCGCGGCATCAGTCGGTGAGCGCCTCGGAGGAGCCCTGGATCCACGCGCTGCTGGTGGCCGTGGGGCGCCTGGTGGGCCTCGCGGCGTTGATCAACACCTCCTTCAACACCAAGGGCTTTCCCATCGTGAACACCGTGAGGGAGAGCCTGGAGATGTTGGACAAGCTGCCGGACCTGGACTTCGTGGTGATTGAGGACTGGCTCTTTCCCAAGAGGACGTTCCCGTCGCCCTTCGCCGAAAAGTGCTTCGTGCCAGAGACAGGGGCTTCGCTTGGAGAGGCATGCGCTTGTCAATTTGGGAGCAGGGCAACAGGCGTGTTCCAGGAATCAATCCGCCTTGATTTTGGTGCGATCTTTTCGGGAATGCAAGTGCAAATGGTATGGCGTGTGCTGGGAAAGCTTCTGAAGTTTCATAGTATGCGTGCGAACGATTCAAGCAGCACATGACCTTTCTTTGTTCTTGCCATTTGCATGTTGTTGTGTACTGCGTTCTGTTTGACACACCCCGTCAGACCAATCTCATATTTTTCAGTATGACTCAGTAGGGATGAGCTTGCGCCTTGTGGGCGGCTTGGACATCCCATTGAAATCGTTGCATGTCAAGCACTGGTTGCCTCCATAGTTCCAGCAACACGTCATCCAGACTTAAGACGATCGTCGAGCCTCACAACTTGCTGCGAATCGACGTTACACGCACACACCCACACCTCCAAGAGGCGCAGCCGCACCAGATGGAGAACGGTGTTTTGTAAATCAGGGCGTCTTCCTCTGATGTTGCCTGTGATTCCGAAGTGGCCATGACGCGTCAACCGTCTACTGTGGAAACTTCCGGGCAACACGAGCATCTGAGCGAGCCATTGATGTGAGACGCTTTTGTTGACATGGTTCCGGAGAGAGCATCCTTAGCAGAGTGCAGGACGTTGAACCACTGGATTTTTTTAAAACCAAGACGCAAGCATTGAAGGACCAAGCCCACGGCATGTCTACAAGCCACATAATCACTTGCTTCTCTTTTCTAAGGGCTCGCGTGCTTTGTTGCCTGCTGATTTGCACTTGCCTATACTTGACGGCGTGCAGATGCGCCGCACAGACTGAGATGCATTTGGTCTTTGCAATGGTGAAGTGTCCAACACCCCGCAACATCACAGTTCTTAGGGTTTGGGCTTTTTCCGTGCGTGTAGCTGTGTTAGATTAACAGTGAGTGCAAGTGATTTGAGTGTGAGATGCGGGAGAGAGCGAGCAGCAAAGAATTCTGCAGCGAACGAGCAAGGAGGGATTTGAGCAAAATGTGAGATGTGAGAGAGTGAAAAATGATGAATTCCACAGGGAATGCTCAAGAAGTGATTTGAGCATGAGAAGATGTAAGATGCGTGAACATGAATTCTGCAGGGAATGATCAAGGAGTGATTTGAGCTGGTAGATGTGAGATGTAAGAGAGTGAAAAGTGATGAGTTAAGCAGGGAATGATCAAGAAGTGATTTGAGCATGAGAAGATGCGAGATGAGTGAACAGAAATGCATTCTACAGGGAATCATCAAGGAGTGATTTGAGCAAGATGTTAGATGTGAGAGTGAATGCTGCAGGCAATGATACTCGCACAGAGAATTTGCGTGCAGAAGCTTGAATGGAGATCTTGCACAGAGAAATGAGCAGAGCGAACTTGCGCAGAGGCCAGTAGCGTTCAGAACTTACGCGCAAGACTTGCGCAAAGAAACTTGCGCGGAAATTTTGCGAGGAGAAACTTGCAGAGACTCTCGCAGGTACGATTCGAACAATTCGTAGCACTGAAGCTACTCACTACACGTTACACTGTCGGGCTAGGTTTGAAGCCAGTCCCCGGCAAACTGAAGGCTCATGCTGGTCAGAGGTCTCTTGCTTGTTGTTCTCAAGCGCTTGCCGCTGCACGGCAAAACAAGGCTAAAGCGAAGGTGTTTATTCTTTAAAGCTCCATGGTCCCAACGTCAGTGCAAGCAAGACGTTTGATTGAGGGTCGTGCTGCACACCCATTTTGGCTCAATGGGAGGTAAGCTATGCACAACCTTCCCGTGATACCATTTGTTTGCAATTGGTGCGCCTGAGCAGCCAATCGCAGAATGCCGCGTTAGTTACGTTTTGGAATCTTACTTCAGCCAAGCATGTGCCAAGCGCTGATTCATAGGGGCTGCGGCATGGCAACACAAGCGACATTACGATGGTCCAGAAGTAGCATGGACCTGAGCGAGACCAGCTTGACGCAAGCATGAATGTCACGAATGTCGTGAATGTCATGAACACTGGATTCCTTGCCAGGTCCATGTTCAAGAAGTTGGTGGCCCGAGATGTCAGCTTCACGTCTGGTGACTCCAAGGCCTTTCGTTGGAATTGCCGTGTAGCATGTCTGGGGCATGCAACAGGGCTATGCTCCACCGTGAGGTCTCTGTGTGAGTGAGTTGTGACATCATGCCCCTCACACACAGACACGAATCAGCAAAGATGCGAGAGATCCAAGATGCAACTTGTCGCCATGTGGGCTACGCATGATAGGCAATTTTCAAGTGCCAAGCACATGTGCAGGACCAGGTGTCATTCAGCCTGAAAGATGGTCACCTTGAGCTGCGAGTCAACGGCTTTGCGAAAGCCATCTCAGTGCTGCGCATCCAGCGCGCGTGCGCTATGGTCTTGGACCAGGACAGGGCAAAAAGTGTGTAGACCTGTGCTAGGGTGGCATGCTTGTCGGGTCAGTCAGGGGAAGCCCTTGTACGTATCCCCGAACTTGTGCCTCCAGATCAAGCTGCGCGCAGATTTGCCTTTCACCCTAGGACACTTGGGCGACGACGGTGCCAACGCAGCTCTTCGATCAGATCGTGGAGAAATTGAGACGCTTGGCCAGCGCTGCAAACGTGCCATGGCAAAACTTTTATTGGCCAAGAGCTAGAGAAGATTCTTAGTGCGTGGCAAAGCAGGCTTGCCGCCATGTTATTTGCGGCATTCACTCACAGCAGTTTGGTTATTAGCTAGGGTTTGGTATGAAGGCCAGTTTAGTTTAGTTCGAGTTTGGTAGATGGAGTTTGGTTTTGGTTGTTTTGGCACGTAGATGGATTTCAACGGTGATGCCAGCTCCGTGCGAAGTTATGCCCTTGACAGCGAACAGTACGAAGGTGCCGATCCTCGACGTCCATGGTAAAGAGCTGAAGCCTCGCGCGCAGGCGTCCTCCAAGGCGTCCAAAGCGTCTTTTGCGTCGAGTCAAAGAAGTCAGCGGCAGGCCACTGCGCTGCTTCAGCTGAGTCCCGAGCTTCGAGTGTCCTGGCTTGAGAGCCAGTCCTGCGAAGTTTGCGCTGGAGCTTCAGCAGCAAGGAGTGAAGGGCCACTGGCCAAGCATCGCAAGCCATTTGCACATGGGCATCGCACGCCTCGCATGGCTTGCCGAGCCCGAGGCTTTGGGGCAGGCTCCCTGGAAGCGGTGGCGCGGTGGGTCAATGGCCAGGCCAGGCTGGTGCTGGCTGTGGAGGCCAGATCTCGGTGGCTTTTGCAAGCAAAAGGGCGAACGACTATAGGTGTTCTTTTTGGTTGTTTTGGTAGAAAAATAGATGGCCCTAGTTTACCTGGTGGTTCAATCATCTACCAGGGCCATCTATTTCTCCTGAAAGGACGCCTATGCTAAGGACTGCTGATTCGCCTCGAAACTGTTGCCGCTACGCACGAGGCGTCCCTGGAGAGTCAGCTGCTGGCGGCGCAGCCGTGCGCGGCGGCGCTGCTTCGCGTGCCCCACGGAGGCGCCGAGGCCTTTCTCCTCGCGGCCGTGCTGGCGCAGCTGCAGTGTGGCGCGGCCGGCAAAGGCGAAAAGCAACCCTTCCAATCGCAGTTGGGTTTGGAGGGAAGGGGCACCTTCCGTTGTTTGGATGAGTTAAGAGCCATTTTGTTTTCTCTGTGTTCCGCAGACAGAAGTTGTGCAGAGCTCGCAGTATGCATCCCTCCGACTTATCTAGGCCCTGTGGTGCTGGTCACAGCAGAAGACTGGGCAGGATGCGACGAGATTGCACGGGAGTTGTGCCACGTCCTGGCTGAGCTCGAAGCTGGCGAGGCCGCGCGTTGCTCAACGCAGGCGCAGCGTATTTGGTCCACTGCTGGTGCTGCAGAGCGTGCTACGACTTTGCTGGAGGAGTGCGATGCTTTCAATTGAATGCATGGCAGGTTTTTGGGGTGCCCCGGGCATTTCAATTGCATCCGTCTGCAGGATGCTTTAAGCGCATACCGTGCCTCCCGCCCCTATGTGCATGGCTTGATTGGTGCCGGGATTTTGGAAGCCGACGTGCGGGAGGCGCGAGGAGGATGGGCCCGTGACAGATTTGGCTTGAAAGGCTAGAGCATTTCAGAAGGATATGCACAAATCACTCGATCCATCAAAGATGAACAGCTTTGCGCAACGTTTGATTGCGAAGCCACTCAGGCGTTGGAGGCATCGGTGGACTTGCTGCAGTCTTCCGAGGCCTTCCCGTTGAACAGAGGTTGGCTTCCCTGTCACAATGATGAATTTTGGTTCGCAGTGGTACAAGGAAGGGTTTTAGCAGGAAATTCCATCATTAACGCTCATCTTGGAATTCATCTCAAGTTTCAGGTTCCAAGACCGAACCAATCCGACCGGACGCAAGTTATGTCCCGCCCAAAACCAGCAGTCAAGGGACCCACTGAGTATGTCGAGCAAAGTGCATCATCATTTTAGAGTGCGAGATCAGGTTTCAGGCGAATTCCTCAAGCCATGTCATTTTTGCAGCGTTGAAGAACCCCCCAAACTAGATCATTTCCTTACTTGAAGGGGCACCCCCCCGGACTGGTACAGTCCATTTCGCAGACGTTGATCTCTGGCTGAGAGGTGCAAAGCCTGACCGTGAAGCCAAGGCTTGGGCCATGTACTTTTCAGATCAATTGAGACGCGGCTTGCCCGGCTTGCCCTGCCAGACACGATGGACGCCCACCCAATCCAAGGGCGCTCCACTGCATTGGACGTGCCAGCTGACGCCCGAGCATGGCGAGATGCATGCAAGAAGCGCCAACTCGAATCGCGCATGAGGCAGAGCACTTGGCAAGCTAGCGGAGGCAACTCTCCAACTCTCGCCGAATTTTGTCAAACACTTCGATATTTGATCGTTGCTTGCAGGATCGACTTGGGGATCTTTGGTTTCAGCCCGAGGCAGACCCAGGACTTTGCGTCTGTCATTCGGGCCCGGAACAAGCCCGCGTGGGGCTCAGGACCCGACGCCTTCTGCGTGCTGGACTTGTCTGACTCAGAGAGCCTGGAGTTCCTCCGGCAACGGCAGCAGCAGGCCAGGGACGTCACACGTTTCTCTCCGGAAGCCGATTGATGTCGATTGTTTTGTTTATACCAGATGGTGCGTTGTCTAGTTGCTCTAGTTTGCCCGGATCAATCGGATGAGGTTCGTGCCTTCGTTGCGCGCCGTTTCGATGGTGAATGCCCACGCTTGCTACAATGCCTTCACTGGCCCGAATGATTTTGTTAGGATGAAGAGTTGTTGCCTTTGCTTGGCGTCTCATTCTCAAATATGGCTGCATCTCGCAACAAATGTGAAGGTGACCAGAAAAAGGGCGTTCGTGTGACCGTACCATTTCTGAGCACACTTTCCCATTGCCGGACCATCCAATGATCCCTTTGCGGTGGTGGGACTGGAACAGATGTCATTGTCAAGCGCAAATGTCACCCCATTCGCATCAATAGCATTGATTCTATTCCCATCAGTTTGGGGCCAATCCATCCAGCCAAAGCTGAGAGCATCCAGTTCTTCGGATGCTACACCATTTTTTGATCCACACCAACCTCGCCACCCAGTTTGACTGCTGAGCCTGAATGTAGGCGACTTGGTACATACTACAGTAGCCAGCAGCATTGATGAACAGCAATGCTTTCATCGCTACTGTCAATCTCTTTTGCCACAGTTGTAAGATACTACAAGACCATGACAACTGCGGGGCCATGTCAATAGCGCAGTGTCCCTTGTAGTTTTGTCAGCCTTTTTTTGACCCTGATGCTGCTGCTTGTGGAGCACACACAAAAGCTCATCTTAAACAATTCGGGTCGTTCTCGGGTCCGCTCGGGTCGTTCTCCGCTCCTCCACAGGTCCTCGTGCGAGGATCCTGCGCCCCGTTTTGACTTTACAAAGTTATATATTAGAAGCGGGCGAGGCAGGGTCAAAGCTAACATGAAAACTACCAGCCACTTGACGCGCTTACACACGCACGCACGCCGTCAGGCCAAGAAGAGCTGAAATCGCTTCTTAACAATAGCCGCGCAGCACCCCAGAGACGTCTGTCCTTCCCGTTCGTTTCCAGTCCGATGTCCGCGATTATTTGTTCCTTTCCCGTTCCCATTCCCATTCGAGTTTCTTTCATTCTCATTCCCATTCCAGTTCCGTTCTCTTCGTTCGTTCCAGCTCCCTTCTTGTGCTAGACCAGGCCTAAACTTCAACTTAACCCGCCTGAAACCCACCCAAAAGCTTCAAGGCCACCCTAAACCAACGCAAAACCCCCCAACGCAAATGTAAGCAAACCCTAAACCAAATCAACCCCAACCCGAAACCCACCCTAAGTCCACCCTGGAGCACCCGCAGCCCCACCAAACCAACTCTACAACAACCAAGGCCACCCGGTGCCACTCAAGCCACTCGGGGCCACTCAGAGCCGCTCAGTGCCACTCATTGAGGCCTTGAGTGGCCTTGAGTGGGCGTCGTGCTTCTTTTGGTTTTGAGTGGCTCTGAGTGGCTTTGAATGGCTCTGAGCTGCTCTGAGTATGGAGGTGTTCAAAGTGATGGGGTGCTGGTGTAAAACATGTGATTTGGACGGCGCTTTAGCTCACAGAACCTAGGAAAAAAGAAACTCAGGGCAGCCAAACCATAAACATTAAACATGCAAAATAAAACCAGCAAGCCTAGGGTCCAGCAAGCAGGCATGAAATGTAAATTGCATCAATCGAATATTGGTTTCCATCGCCTGAGATGGGAATGTGTTTCAAAGCTGAAGGAACCCTTGTTCTCAGCAGGACTGCAATGTTCGATGTAGCCAGAGCCACGTGGGTCGGATATTCTCAGGATGGATCTGACCGTTTCCTGGGCCCGGGCCGAGGCAAATTAATAAAAACTACAGGGCAATGGGTCGTATGATTTCCAGGGTTTTAAGTTGCAAGGGGGTAGTTTGGAAATCATTTGGCGAGGAAGGAGAACAAAATTTGTCAACGCTTGAGCCATTTGCCTCTTGGACTCCGCCAGGAGGTGCCAAGCATCCATGTATTGGCTCTGCTGCCTGCTTCGTCGATGCATCGAGCTGTCTGGGCCCTGGTGCTTGGAACTGGCTGGTTGCGCTTCCAGTCAGCTGAGGCGTGGGACGTGGTGGCCGAGCCGCTGGCCGTGCTGGTCGGCGCGGGCGAGGTGGGGCCGAGGATTCCACGCGTCGCGCCTCGCGCGCGCCGAGGAGCTGCTGCCGGACGTGGGGCTGGTGGTCGCGGTGTGCCTCGGGGACCCGGCAGGACGCGGACTCAGTTTTTCTCACTTTCTCTTATCGGTTTCACGTCGTTTCACGTCGTTTCACGTCGTTTCACGTCGTTTCAACGGTTTCAATCCTTTGGACTGTGGGTTTGGAGCGGGTTTGGAGGCGATGCCGGAGACGTTCTCTCCTTGCTCGAGGCGAACGCATGGTTGGCGCGTTCGGTGGGCATTCCGTCGAGCGAGCCGAGGTGCTGGCCACGGCACCTCTGGCGGCAGTGGCCTTCCAGTTGCAGCCGCGGCCGCAGAGCCACGTGATGCTGCCAGCCCAGGCGCGGGACAGAGCGGACAGGCTCAATTTAAACGGCATACAACATCTAGTGCAGCAAGCGGAAACATTCTCAGACCTGATATTCATTCCTATGGCCCTATATGGCTTACAGATCGGCCGAGTCGAACTCTAGAGTCTTAGAGTTGTCCGCGAGGGCGCCTGCCTTTCTCTTATCTTCACAAATGCACGGCAACTCCGAGCAAAGTCTGACGCTCCAACCAAACCTTACAAAGCTCTCACTCCGTCAAACCTCTCTGACTCCTCAAGTGGATGATCTGTTCCCTGGAGCTGGCATAAGCGTCGCTGGCAGTGGAGCGTTTGACCTTGCCGCTGTTGGAGCTTGTCAAAGAATTGCTGGAAGTCCACGTCAGCGCATCAAGCTTGACCAAAGCTGTCCCGAGCGAACACCCAGTCGTAGACGTCGCCAGCGCGGAGCTGTCCTTGGCACCTCACAGCCCCCGTGCGCATCACAAGTTTCCGCCGGAGCTCGGCGACCTGGATGCCAGGCTTCTTGTGGCGCCCGAAGTCCCGGGCTTTCCATGGCACGTTGATTGGCATACCCGTGTTTTGGAGTTTTGGGCAGAGTGCCTGTCATGAACTTTGGCATGCGCTTCACAAGTTGAGTATATGTAAAGGCAAAAACGCACTCATTTTCGATTATTTGTGAACATGAGTAACCTAAAGTTGTTGTCCGCTGGATCTGTTTTGTCTGGGTTCACAGTATGGTCAGTTGTGGGTGGTGCTATTAGAATGGCTTAAGCCACAGTAGGGAGTTTTGAAGATGAGTTCTGGGGATTGTTTCCGCTTGTTGCAACACGTTTTCTGTGTTTTGTTTGGTTTTCCCCCACACATTGCATGTTTGTGCTAGCAGCTCAAGTAAGAGCTTGGTGGAGCTCAGAGGGGTGGGGGAGACAACTCACGCAGGGTAGTTCAGAGTCAAAGGGATTTGTTTGTCACAATGTGCTTTCCAGGATGTCGGCGGGGCATACCTGCTCCCTTCGGGCCAAGAGGTCTCCAGAGAGGAGGCCAGGGTTCGCTTGGCTTCAGGCACTAACGGAACGAATTGAGATTCTATTTTGGTTACTTCCCCCCAGGTGGATGCTGCCTTCTCCTTCTGGCCGCGTTGCAGTGAGCCAAGGCTGGTTCGGTTGCGCCTTGGCTCTTGAGGCTCTTGAGGCCTTAGGAGCGGACTGTGAGGCTGCTTTCTGCCGAGATGCTGCGGCCTGGGCTTCCAGCGAGTCTGGCATGCGCAGGCCGGAGCCAGATGCCTGCGCTCAGAGCCAAAAAGCGACTTTCGGTCGCTTCAGGCGCCGCCTACGTGCCCTCCGCGCGCACCAAGCCTCGCGTGCCGAGCCGATGGACTGAGAGTGATGCAGCAAGTTGAGCCAGGTGTGGCACTTGCTCCTGCATGTGCACGAAGAGGCGAACGCCGAAAGCCGAAAGCCGAACGCCGAAAGCCGAACTTCGAGTCGATCGAAACCGACCTGTTCCAGGCCAAGCTCTTCCGCCGCGCGGCAGGGGACTTCCCCGGCCGCGCCAGTGCCGCGTTCCGCTGGCGTCCGGAGCTCGGCGCGGCTCGAGTGGAGGGCTCGGAGTCCGCTTCTTTCTCGGAAGGAGGCGGCGCAGGCCCGAAGTGCGACCTGTGGTCTCTGGCTACGGCTCTGGAAGGCGCGGCCTAGAGATGGCCAGTCGGCCATCAATGGATGCATTTGCCCGAGTCACACGCAGGCGAGACCTCCGAGGACAGATCGGAGCAGGACAGCGCTCTTGCAGGTTTGACTCTCCCTTCCCTTGGAGCGCGGATCGCAATTGTATGCTGACACGATGGCAATGGGACTATGCCATTTCAGTCTGCCCTCAGTCCCGTTCATTTCGATCTTGTGAGAGGACGAGCAAAAGGACGACCATGCAGCCTACAGCGAGGAAGAGTATGAGGACAGTCTACCGCCATTTGGCAGATGGAGGATGCACTTTTCCCTGCAACGTTTGGTTTGCAAGCTGCACGAACCGAGCGAAGCCAGTTGAGCTGGGCATTGAAACTCGCATGGAGAAGGCCCGTGTGCCGAACCCTTGCCGGTAACTCCGACTCGCCAAAAAAGGGCACTTTGCCAGCAGGGAAAGCACATCGACATATTATGCAGTTTTTGGGTGTCATAGGCTGTCAAGCCGTGGTTTGATGTGGCCGTGGGCCAAAGCCAATGATTCCATTTTGGGATAGGTGCACAACCCATTTTAGTCGGGATTTTAGTGGGGATTGGAATGTTCACTGTTGACCCATGGCCATGTGTCGAATCAGCGTCCGCCGCACCAATTCTCGAGCTCGCCACTGGGGATATGCTTGCACCTTTAGAACCGCTCGTTAGCAGAGGTCATGGCATGAAGCTCGGGAAGGTGTTCTCTTTTGAAGGGCACAACCATCAGAGCACTTGGAGGTAAATTGTTTTTTTGCAGCTCAATATTGAAAGGCTCATTTGATATCTGAATTTACAATTTGAATTTCGAGTTCGACTGACTCACAGGTGCCAAGGGAAGTTACTGTAGAGCACATAAGACGGAACAGCTGTGAGGACGAATCCGACGACTCTCAATCCTCGCAGAGTGCTGATGGAGAGGGAAAACGGCTGAACGCTCATTCGCCAGGCATGAACGCAGGTTGTCCTTTGAGTTATTGGGTGAGGAAGAGAAAGGGTGTGTTGCCGTCCAATTTGTCCAACAAAGCTGCGGCGTTTTGCTGGAAGTGTGTTTTAGGAATATTGCCTCAAGGAAGGATGGATGCTCACTTGAGCTCCTTTAGCACCACTGCATCATGTCACAATGTTTTGCCTTGTTATTGCACGGCCGTGCTCAGTTGAGAAGAGATGCGATTGGGTGTGTCAGTTTTTGGGGAGCCCCCATGTTGGCTGGGTTTCCTCTTTGTTTCCCTTTAAACATGACCCCACCCCCCCCCCAAGGGTTTGAATGTGATCGACGCAAGATTTCGGGCTAGCATTGTAGCTGCACGATGCCAAAGAGATGCCCAAGGTGCTCGTCTTAGACTCCGGCCGTTGGCATCGACTCAGTTGCTCTTGCGCCTGACGTGACCAAGGGTGAATCGTTGTCGGCCAGCTTTGCTGAACAGGCGCGCAGGGGCGCGCGCGTGAACTCATGGACACTTGCGAATTTTTTAGCCGCAGGTTCAGCGAGCTCTTTGTGACACATACGGAAGTGACATTCCCCGACATGTGGAGGAGTGCATTGCATCTTGAGCTGGGACCGCTAAGAGAGAAGAAGTTGCAAGCGCTTGATTGCGAAAGGAGATGGCCAGTCAGCTTGGGGTCAGCATCTGAGTTTCACTCCTCACAATATGCCGACTTGCCTCGCTCAAATGATGTACATAGCCACAGCGCTGAAGGTGTGTTGCATCTGCAAGTTGATGAGTTGATGGCTGACAGGTGATGAATTTTGGCAGGCTGGAGAGTGAGCGGCGAGAGGGCGAGAGGGAGAGAGGGAGAGAGAGAGAGACAGAAGCTGGAAAGACACTGGTTGTTCTGCACGTTGCCGGGAGCAGATTGCCAGTACTTTGCAATCATCTCCGTTGGTTGCATTTTTGCATCTTTTATCTGAAATCATCTTTGCGTGTTTTTCTTGCGCTGTGTTTTGCTCGAGGGCGAGCTCCATGCCATGAGCCGCTCGGAGCGGATTGCGCGGGACCTCCGAGCGGCGGAGGCGGAGCTGCACGAGGGGAAGTTCCCGCAGCTCACGTCCCTGGACTCCGAGGATGACACCTTCGCCTTCTGCGTGCGAGGTTTGGACGGCGCCTTCACCGCTGTGGTCGGCAATCCGTACCCTCTGGGCGAGACACAAGTCTACGGCCCCGAGGAGTTTGAGCTGGAGTCCGCAGGCACCGTCTCCGAGATCATTCGCCGTGTGACCGAGGAGCTGGCGCGGCCGCACGCGTGCGACATGGAGTTGATTGCCGACGCATCTCCCGAGCAAGCCTTGCAGAAGGAAGTGCTTTCCGCCAAGAGCGCTCTTGGTGAAGAAGCAGTGGCGCTGACCCAGCTGGCCGATATGTGGCGCGTTCGCTTGTCCGTTCCAATCATCGGTCTCAGCAGCACGGCGTGTGCTGCGTGGGGCGTCGACACCTCCCGGCCAATCTCCGTGGACCTCCACTTGCCCTTCGGGTGTTCGCAGGTCAAGCGGTCCATGCTGAAGAGGATCTGGCAGGAGGGCAGCTTTGCGCTGGAGACGCAGCTGCTTCACATCCTCGCAGAGTTCTGCCAATTTTTTGCGGACGGAACTGCTGACACGTGGGACGTCAAAGACGTGGAGGAGACGGAGTTGGACGATTGCAACTGTGCTGTCTGGTACGAGGCTAAGAAGAAGCGGTTGATTTTGGAGGCCATGGAGGCCGAAAGAGCTGGATTCCTGACATGCTTGGCACGGTACCTGCAGCTGCGAGTCCCTACTGTGCATGAGTTTTGCGCCATCTGCGACAAGCCCTTTCAAGTGGCACCAATGATGATGCGCTCCGTTTGCTCCGACGAGCTTTGCACCTACCAGTTCGTGGAGTTCGGCAGCAAGATCACGACGGCGGAGTCGGTGAACCACCGCTCGGAGATCATGGACCTCCTGTTCTGCATGCTGGCGGCCGCGGCGAAGTCTCCCAGGCGCGAGCTGATTCTGGATCCCTTCCCCGCGGTGCACGTGGCCCGCCTCCCGGTGCTCTCGCCCGACTGCAAGGACCCCCTGGTTGCGAAGAAATGCAACCAGGCACAGTTAGGCCCTGTGGAAAGACCAGGATGCCACAACCTCCAACCTCTCTCTTTTTTTTTTGGGGGGGGAAAAAGGCGGTTTGTGTGAGAGCCCTAGGACTTCGCCAAGCTGGAGACCTGCGTCGATGAGCTCCAGAAGATCCGGGCCTGGGGCGCTGGGCACCTGGGGGCGTCCTGGGCCCTGTGCACCGGCCAAATGACCCAAGAGGCCGCGGCCCTGCTGAAGTGGACCGTGTGCTCCAACCGCTGCTACTTGGCCCCCTTGCAGGACCGCCCAAGGGGCTCTTTGCGCCGGGCTCTTTGCGCCGGGCTCTTTCTGCGCCGGGCTTTTTGCGCCGGGCGAGCGGGGTTTGCGCGGTTCGGGGGTCGGGCAGGGTGTGTTTCCTTGCGGCACCAGGAGCATCAGCTCGTCCAAGCCTTCAGGAGCCACAGATTGCAAGAGTGGTTGAAGTCAAATCCCAGCCTTTGGCGGTTTTGGGGGCCCACCGTTGGCCCAGGACACAATTCCAGTACTTACTGGTGTCCGCGCCGCCTGACAAGGAGACTTCTGCGTAGTTGTGATGGTCATGTTCGCCATGACAATGCAAGCTTCCAAAATGCGCGAAGAAGCCTAGCCGTTGCAAGGGGGCCGCAGCGTAGGAGGCTCGCTTCAACAAGCTCAAGGAGCAGTTTGGGACTTCCTTCGCCTTCCACGGCCCAGGGCTCGGCACCAGAGAGATGACGTCCATGCGTTCTTGTTGAAATGCGACGTCCTTCGTAGACTTGAATTGTTTTCATTTTGGCCAACTTTTGTGTAGGCTTTGACTGTGCCGCTTGTCACTTTGTCCTCCATCCTTTTGTTTGGTCCTGTTCCTTGCGCTTGAAGACTTTGGTGTATTGGAATGCTCATGTTGTTTCCCAAGATGCTCTTCCACTGTTTTGGCCTGAGTGGAACAGAAGGCAAATTCGTTCGAGCAAACATTTGTCTTGGAATGAAAGGATGTTTTTAATCGATGCCAGGTGAACATTCTAAGGACTTGGTATGGTGGGTCGTTTGTCTTAACGCGCTAGCCTTGGCTGATTCGCTGTGACGCGCGATTCTGTGAATTTCTTACTGTGCTCTTGTTCACGTTACTGCGCTCTTACCCACGTTTTCTACTAGACCCTCAATCGTGGCTTGTTCATGCGACCCCACAGACATCTTGCCTTGAGACGTAGAAGTTGTCCAATTGCTCCTTGTGTTGCCGCGCTTTGTTGCATTGCTGAATGGCTGTTGACTTGCACCGAGCTCGGTACTGACCCATCCGCCAAAGGTATCCGTCGGCCAAAGTCGAACGTATAGTCAAAGAAACAGTGTCATCTGCCAACAATGTTCAGGTCCAGTTCCACCTTGCGACAGTAGTGTGCACAATTGCTAAGATATATTCTTTGTGTTTTCTTGTTACAACGGGTTGTTGGTTCTTGTTTGTTGCCCGCCGAGAGCCGCTACACTGTTGGTGCAGGCCTTTTGTTTGGTTCCTGGAACTTTGCTCCGAACCCTTTCCCAGTTTGATGCCAATAATGCAACGACACGGGGCTTGCTACTCCACCACGCAGGCACAGGAATAAAGGGGCACATTTTATTTCCCAACGCGACCACAGTCCAGGTGTAAATCCGATTTGTCGAAGTGCACAAAAATGAAGCACGTTTGGTTTGTCATTGTCAACCAAGCTCAAGGTGCATGTTTTTGCCAGCACACACACACACACACACAGAGGTCCGCATCGAAATCAAGGCAAGCTTCACTCAGAGTCACACGCGCCCACGTGAACAGGATTTGTGCGCGAAAGACAAAGTGCACGCTTGGCCATGAACGCGACCGAAGTCAATCCACACAACAGTACAGGTGCATGAGTTCCATACTTGCACGCATCGCATCAAGGAGCATGAGCCAGAAACGCGGCATGTAAGGTCCATCCATCAACACTCGAGCCTCATGTTTCACTTGCTCATGCATGCCAAGGTCGAGGTGTCATCAAGTTGCCCTTTTGATGCACCAAAACCAGCAATGAATGTGTTGCTGCCTTTGCTGGTCCATGGTTTCCTTGCAAGTTCGTGGTAGTCATTCGTCCTTTTCGGAGGTTGTTTTCCTGCTTGTTCTTTGCCATACCTCAGCTTTTTGTGCTGTTATGCGAGCTCGTTGGCATGCTTACTCCTTTTGCCTAGCTTGAACTGTCCCTACTTAGTTGCTGCCACTCCTGCCGTTCAATCTCGTGGAACCAAAATGGCTGGCTCTCCTAAAAGTAGGTTTCCTCTATGAGGTATGCCAAGCTGCCCAAACAAGGCGCAAGCGGTTCAATGGCCCTGTCATTTCCCTTTGCCCCACATTTTGTTTGTGCTTTGCCGTGAACAGGACATGCGGTGAGTCTGTTTCGCCCTTTCTACCTTTTGCAGACACCTTCAGCTGCCAGCTGCAGGTAGCGCTTCGGAAAATTGGCACTCCATCCTTCGAAATGGTCTCAAGATGCTTGGCCACGCGGGCACTGACTTTTGTGGGGTGCGTGTCATGTCTGCACAGCATGTGGGGATGTCAGGAACGCCTCGCATACCAAGCTCATGACCAGCGGAGCTCGCTTCGGTCCTGGGATTTACCTCTCGCAGGAGCGGCAAAGTGAGCTGGCTCTCGGGTTGGGATTCCTAGCTTCGAATCGCTTCCTAACGGTTCGAGTCCTGAGCGAGTAGCATTGCATGGCTTGAGAGGAGAGTTCTGTCTCCAGAGCGTACTGCCGCGGGATGAAGACACACGACGAAGCTGGGGTGAAACGGCAGAAGACTGGCAGCTTGGCCTCTGGCTCGACTCAGGGAGAGTCGGGGCCCGGGGCATGTGTTTGTTGACCCTGTTCACGCGACATGGTCCTTTGGTGACCCGATGGCATGGACGCTTTGTTACGTTCTGATGTTGTCTGAGTGATGTTGTGGTTCGAGGTCTAGCGCGGTAGGCTGGAATTGCCTATTCAAAGCTGACAGTTCGAGCTGACAGATGTCTCAGGTCATGCAGGGCAGGCAAGAGCACGTTATTCCGAACGTTGTAGGTCGGATCCTTCCAGAGTTTTTGTTTTGCTTTTGGCTCCGTGATGGCACCCGGGCCATATCTTGCTGGTTTCGTGCTAGCACAAGTGAAAGAGTCAGGCAACCGCTTCGTGGAGAATCAGGGTGGCCTGATCATGATGGCGGTGTGCGAGGCGGCTGCCGTGCTGCCGTGCTGCCACAAACCAGTTCATATCATGTCATATGTCACAACTCTGGCAAGCCAATTGGACTTAGGTCGTGGATGATCCCGAGCGGTTGAAAAAGCCGAACCCATCGCGCCTGGGTATGCAATCTGGCTTCCGAAGGCTGGCTTTCGGTAGCAATTTGCGGCATTCGCGGCCAAAGGATATGGGTGGCGACCAGCGAGGAGCTGGTTTGCACGCGCTTCTTCCTCGTGTTCGCGGGCCAGTGCCAGGCAACTCGGGGTTTGTGTGTGTGGGGATCATTTTCGGCTTCGTGTGTCACCACCCAGCTAGCATGGCACAGCATCACACGCAGCCTTACAAGTTGCCTGCTATCTTACATTTGGGTGTGCCATACATCATGTTCACGTTATCGTTGCCATGCTTGTTGCTTGTGTTAGCGCCAGCCGCATGTGGATATCCATTTGGCCAAAGAAGGGATGCGCTCTACGAAGCAAGGAGCTGCGCCAAGGACGCAGCTCTGTGGAACAGCTGTGTGCTTTCAACCTAGACTTGAGTTTCTAAGCGTGTGTTTTACGAGCTTCAAAAATGGACGAGTAGATGCTCCCTGCCAATTTTCGGACGTCAGAAAAGATTCAGACATGTGACATGTGAGATTTCAGACACTGGTGGACATGTTGTGAGTGTCGATTGCTTCACCGCTTGCAAAGCCAACGCAACTTGTGCTGACTTGCGCTAGTCTTGTGGATGTCTGGTAGAACATGTTGTGGGAAACACGAGGGGTTGCAAGAAGTGATACTTTGTGCTTGCGGAGATAAGTGTCGATATGATCTCATTGTGACAAATGGCTAATCCAAGATGTGTTTCTTCTTTTTGGGAAGAGCGCACCCCCGAATTCTTCGTCAAATGTCGGAGGTCGCCACGCAGATCTCAAAGGAGCTGGAGCAGGACCCCATTTCCCGGTTGCACACGCTTCCATTGCCAGGGATCAAGGCGAGGCGCATTTCTCCAGCGAGCGCGGGCCAGGAATTGCATGCCCTGGTGAAGACGGTGCGTGCGTAGAGGGCGAAAAGGGCCTTAGGCATGGAATTGCGCCTGCAGTGCCATGCAGTGCCTCATGTAGCACCGTTCAATTGAGCGAGGCAAAATCGGGCCTGTTTCTTTCATTGCGCAGCTTGGAGCTGTTGTAATTTGCGCTCCGAGGAGCGCACGCTCACATCTGGGTTAGTTCGCGCTTGGCGGCCGAGAGCTGCCAGGGCGTGCCAGCGTGCCGAGACATGTACAGGGCAGGCGGAAAACAGTGAAGCAGTGAAGCCCAGATCTGGAAGATGTCGAGTGACCGTTGCTTGCTTCATGGCCAGGGAAGCCCGGTGCCAGGAGTGCGCCAGCGCCGGGAGCCCCAGGAAGCCTTCAGCCGTCGTCGATACGTGATGCGCGCAGGCGACGGCCCCGACGGCACGCTCGCCGCATCCTCGGGCTTCGACTCGAGAGCACTCCCCATGCACGAGCTCGAGGTCGCCCAAGTCCCCGCGCTCGCCGCGCTCGCCGCGCTCGCCGCGGCCTCTCTCTTGGCCTCTCCCGGCCTTGCCACGAACCGGAGCGAGTCTTAGTAACTTAGGTGCTCAAGCCCGCGCTCCAGAGGCTGGGCCTCTGAAGCCTTTCAGCTAGCGGCTTTTGCTGTACTGTAGGTGTCTGCCAGCGACTTTACGAGGAGGGCATGTCTCTGAAACAGAGGAGCGGAAGAGAATGAACAGATATGCCGATATTCCACAAGCAGAGCGCACTTTCCGCAGGAGAAAAGAATTTGTGGAGGAGGTGGAAGTCCGTCTCTCTTTCTCTTTTCGTTGTTTTTTCTCGTTGGCATTGTGACTTAATCTGTTTCATGCGGCCGTCTGCGCAGGTGTTTGCCTTGGAGAAGGAAAGTCTGAGAAGAAAGGCGCTATCAAGTGAGCGAGACTTTTGTTTCGACCGAGGCGCCGTTTGCCAAGGCCAAAGAGCTCATGAGCCGTGGAAGCCGACTTTACTCTCCCAGTGCAGCGCTGAGATTCCGCCAAAGGCACTGGATCCTGTGTGCCATGCGTGCCGTGGTCTTCCGACACCCTTGTCTGAGATCAAGGATGGTTAAAAGTTCTTGTTGGGATAGACTTCACCTTGAGTCACAGGCTGCGCAATCGGTCAGACTAGACACAGACTACACAGCTTCAGGCCGCCTTCAGCGCTACTGCTCTTTCAAAGGTCCTGAGGAGCCCTAAATGATAGAGGTCATCGACGTGTGCCGTGTAGAGACGTTGGTGCTAAACCCACGTTCCGTGTCCCTCGGATTCGGTTTAGGAGCACAGATACCCCGGGCGCCGCTGCGGCTCGCCCGAGCGGAGCCCCAGCCCTCGGAGCCCTCGGAGCCCTCGGAGCCCTCGGAGCCCTCGGAGCCCTCGGAGCCCGAGCCGAAGTCTGCGTTCGAGCCTCTCGGCGCTGGACGAGAGGAAGGTGGAGGACCAAGCCATTTGTCTCCATATGAAGCCATATGAAGCCATACGAAGCCATATGAAGCCAGGCGAGTGTGACATGCGAAGCGTTGTCTTCAGGAGAAGGATGATGCCTCACAGACGAACCGCTGGCATGGTTGTGCATGACGGGGCACCCTTCAAATTGCTGGCTCAGGACAAGGGCATCCTCATCTGTGGATGTCAGCATGGAACTCTGGCGGCAATATGCACGCGGGCCATCAGATGCTGCATGCATTTAGACAAGTTGTGCGCTTGAATCTATTCATTTCACGCGCCAAGGAGATGCGCAATGAGCTAGATGTGATGAGGAAGCAGTTAGGCGCAAGCCTCGGGGCCAAAGGCTTGCCCATTGTGCTGGAACTCCCAGAATCTGCACCTTGACGCCTGGTTATTCCCAAGGCCTGCTTTCAATGGGTGCTGACATGCTGCGACGGAAGCTTTCGGAGGTGCAAGTCGAATGAATCGAATCGATAGAGAGGGACATTTCCATGAGGAAGCTGACTTTTTAAATATTTTCAATTTATTTTTTTTTGTTTATAACTTATCCCATATTTTATATTTTTTAACTTTATCAATCTTATATGTTTACCACTTGTGGACAAAATCCCACTTCTCGTAATGAAGCCAACATCTGTGAGTTTCCCTTTTCACCGGTCTGTTTCGGTGGGGGAAGCCTTCGTGTTTACAACAACAGTGCTACAGTTTCTGCTATCTATCCACATTTCTTTTGTCTTTTTAATTTATTTTTTTTTTTTTTTTATTTTATTTTTTATTTATTTTTCCTTTTTTTTTTTATTTTTTTAAAGTTTTCTTCTTTTCGCTCTTTAGGAATAGAATTAAGGAGGCCGCGCGCAGCTCAGCTCCCGCCATGGCCGTGCCGGTGCAAGAACTCGGGGGCATGTGAGGGGAGACCGACCTAAGTTGCACCCGAACCAGTTTTCGAACCATTTGGTTTCAGTTTTTGTTTGGAACAGCCATGTCTGAAACCGTGTCTGTCCTTTTGAGATGCCTTGACTTGCATGTGTCTCGACACCTTGTTCATACTCTTTGTTGCCACCGCTTTACTCAAGAGGGTGCGGTGGGAGGGTGTCGCTCGCAGCAATAGTTTTTTTTTGCAGCAATGCGAGCCTTTTCAACCTGGATGGTTGTTGCAATATTTGATCTTTTTGGCTGACTCGACATATGTGTTTGCTGGCCGCAATAAGGGGGTGTGTGCAGGCGGCTCATGATGGAAGGAGATCAGCCTTTGGAAATCCCTTCTGTGCGGGGCATTCGGAAGCGCTGGCTAACAGGCCCGAGCTCTGAAGATCCAAGCCGGGATTTCGAACCCGACCCGCGTACACCTTCGGGAGGGCCGGTTGGTGTCGAAGACGGTGACCCTGCAGAAGCTGGTGAGCCTAATCTTGATGACACTTCTGTTTGCGAGAATTGTTCTGAGGATGGTGTCCTTATTGACAATATTTCTCAGCGGCTGGAAATTGTGGACCCTTCTGGATCTGAACATCGCTGGAAGTATGAGGCCCTTGCAACTGTCAATAAGAGAGCCCGAATTGACCGGCCTCGTCTACCCTGGGAACACAACTCCTTGGTGGCGGTTCTGGGCCCTGTCGGAAGTGCTGCTGCAGATAATTTGAGCGCCAGAATTGAGAATATACTCCTACCAACTGGTGTTGGAGCCCGAGACACATTTGACTCGGTGGTTGTCCCGGAGGTTGCCTCAAGAGGACGCGATTGTTCAGACATGGAGGTCCCATCAAAAATCAGCCTTCGATTGAAATCAGCCAGGCATGAAAAGCCAGATGAAGATATTCGAAGAGTTGCTCTCGGAAGACTAAGGGACCTTCTCCTAGATGATCCGGGTGCGACGGCCTTGGGCAAGAGCCTGATAAAGCTGTTGGGTGAGTCCTCGGAGGCTGACAGCATCAGTCAATCTTTTTCAGACTGTTTCAGACCGAAGGCCTCTTCGACACTCCAGAAGAGATCAGGGTCTCTTCATCGATTTGCTCAAGCATTCCGCCTGAAGAGCTGGAAGCCCCTGAGATTCACCGAGGACCAACTCTACGAACACCTCTGTGACATGCGTGCGTGGGGTTTAGGTGCTACCTCTGCACAACATCTCATTGAAGCGTTGTTTTTCCTGGAAGGCACTGCCAAGTTTATTTCCTTGGACTTGAGGACTGTTGTTTCTGGTCGATGCAAAGGAGTGGCCAGGGACATGTATCTCACCAAGGACCCACTGGAACAGAAGCAACCCCTCTTGGTGTCTCATGTCAGGAAGCTGGAGCATTTGATCAAACACCTGCCGTCTCGCGAAGCTTGTATTTTGGGCCAACTGCTGTTTTGTGTGCATGCTTGTTGCCGATGGAAAGACTCTTTGAGGTTAAGATCCATCAATTTGGAACGCGGCCAATCAGAGACCCTCGTCCATGCTGTTGCACTTAAGTCAAAGACCACACAAACGGCGGAGGCGCAAACGCGCTCCTTACCTTATGTGGCGCTGGGTTCAGGTGTGAGTGGTGAGGATTGGGCTACTTGCTGGATTGATGCCAGGGCCGCAGAACGGCTTGATCGTTATCCGGAATTTCTGCCAAGCTTCTCGGAGAGCCGTGGCGAATGGATCACTGACCCCATGAGTGCCCCAGAGGCTACCTGCTGGATGCGCGAGTTTTTGTCAACTATCGATGTTCCGACAGAGAGCCTTCATAGCTATGCTACCCACAGCTGCAAACCAACTTTGCTGACGTGGGCTGGAAGGTCGACTGAAGTGGTATTCTCGCCTGGCGAGCGGAGGCTGATGGGCCACCACGTCAAACCTGGTATGAAGTCCGTCCTGACTTACTCGCGCGAGGCCTACACTGCCCTTTATGGGAAAGTCCTGGCTATGTTTGCAAAAATCAGGGCGGGCAGTTTCAATCCTGACCTCCCTGCGGTCGACCGCGTGTTGCAGGCGGCGCAATCATCTGCTTGCGGACCACCTTCTGAGCATACCGACGCTGTGCAGGAACCTGCGGCTCAGGATGGCAAAGGACTCGTCTTCTGAGTCAAGTATTGATTCCGAGGCTGACATTCCGGCTGATGAAGATGCCCTAGCAAGTCCAGCCGATGATCAACTGGAGGAACGAACCCTTTTTCCCGGGCTCTCCAGTGATGTGCTGATTGTCCACACCATTTCTGGTGTGACGCATGTTGTGAACGAGGATGGATTTTCAATTTGCGGCAGGAACCCCTCGGTTAAGTTTTGCACTTTCAATGATGTTGTTGCCGGCAGCATTGACCTTGAAGAGTGCATGCAGTGCAACCGAGCACTTCAGAAGCGGAAGCCGACCCGCTAGTAAACTGCGCAGCATCAGAGCTGCTCTTTAAAAGAGGTGCGCGACCGCCTCGTTGGCAGGCCCACCTGTCCAACCATGGCACCGTTGCGATGCCAGGAAAAGGTGGGCTGACTCTGTGAGTGCTTACAACATGCGTGATTGACCTTTGTCCTTTCGCGGTGCATGTCAAGTTGTCCACATGTTTGTTGCTTCCTGCCCCTGCGTGGCCCAAACTGCATCCGAGCAGGTGGGGCAAAGCAGAATCTGGCAGACCTGCACTGTTGTGTGTCCCATCAACTTGGGGAATTTCACCGTGGCTAGGTTTCAGACTTTCGTTTGTGGTAGTTTCTACGGCATGGCCGCGGCTACACTTGACTCAGAGGCAGCCTTTTTGGAGCGGGCCGCCCAGATCGGTGTTGAGACTGCACTGCTCGATGCGCTTAAGGCGCAGGGCCTTGCAACCTTTGGGCGCCTTGCTTTCTCAACTCAGTACAATCCACAGCTGGCAGATGAGGCCCCTTTTCGGGTGCTGGTGACTCGATTGTGTGGCGCTGCCCCGACTGATCAGCAAATGGCAACGATGCGAAGGCTATTTTTCGAATCGCACACTCTGGCTCTTTCAGATTTGCGATCTCGGGTCGAGGCTACACCTGACGTTTCTGCAGCTGTCAAGAAATTGCCAACCGCTGAGAGAGTTGCCCGGCAGGCAGATCAGGAGAAGCGCCTTGGTGGTGTGATTTTCACACCAGACACTATACCTGCGAATAGTCTGGTGGACTCCTTTGTGGAGATGTATGAGTCGGGCATTTTGGTTTACGTCAAAGCAGAGCAATGCTGTAGTCGGTCACAAGAAGTCCAATCGGTCAGGAAGGATTCGTCAATTGCTACGGATTCTTCTGGTCACCTTAAGCTCAGCTCCAAAACTGGTGAATCAGTTTGCGAGGCCAACACGGAGATCAAGCTCAAATCGGCCTGGCAGAGACGCAGCCTTGCAATGGACCTAGCGAATTTGGCTTCCTTTCAAGTGATTGAGAGCTGGGTTCAGTACCTGTTTTTGCAGCTGGTGAAGGATCAGCCCAGAGGATTCAGCAAGGTTACCTTGCAGCAACTTATTGAATGTGACAAGCAGATGTTCATCATGGCCTCACACAAGACTATGGGCAAATTGCAGACAACACCACCGGCCCCTCGGCCACTGGATGAGGCCATTCGCGAACTTCAACGAGCGCCAGATGTTTGGCAGTATTTGGCGCCCATTCCGGCGGCTAGGGCCGCCCCTCAGTCAGTTGCTGAACGCCCTGCAAAGCAACCAAAAACCCAGTTCAAGGGAAACAAAGGCGCTGCCTCTGGTAAGGGGTCGAATCGTCTTGAATTACCTGATGGTTGCGTGTCCCATGATTCGGAAGGAAAACCCTTGTGCTTTGCATTTCAAACAGGCAAGTGCAAATTTAAGGGCCCGGCCGGAAAGCGCTGTGCTCGAGGATTTCACAAATGTTATCAGGCTGGCTGTTTCAGGTTGCGACCGCACCACCAATGCACTCACTCAGACTGACAGTCAGCGCAATCAGTTTCACTGTGTGCAGCTTCCAGCACACAGCAGCCCCTCGTTATTGAGGTATTTTCCGGCGGGGGCACTTTTTCTCGGGCAATGCTTGAGGCTGGGTTTGC